CTAGGAATGCCTTGGATGGAATTATAACCGTATCAGAAGTGAAACAAGGAGCCGTTAGAGCCAATAGTGGGTTAAGGCATACCCTTTCTTTCTAAATTGGGTTTCTGGTGAGATTCCTAGAGAATTGCAGGTTTACAGCTGGGGAGGCCATACTCAACTGTGCTGGGATTCAGGCTTCTCTGCTGGAGAGAGAGGTCAGCTGGGTTCCTTTCTCTTCACGCCCTCAGGATTTCCCCTGCCTTTCTATGCTGCTCCTGGAACAGGAGTTACAGGTGGTTGTGAGCCACCATGTGGTTGCTGGGAACCACACCCAGGTCTCTGCAAGAGCAGCAAGTGATCTTAACCTCAGAGCCTTCTCTAGCGTCCCTCCCCCAGTCCTGCTTCTTTGCCTCTGCAGCTGGACCTAATTCTGCATTTACTCTAAAGCCTGCGACGCTTAAAGCTGTCATCGACATCTTTCCTGTTTGGTTCCTTACCAAAAAGGGATTCTGTTTATATTTCTATCATTCTACTGGAACCTCTTGAACTCTGTTGGTGTCTCCCTAACACTCTGAAACAAATACATTTTAAGAAATTTATTTATTTACTTATTTACTGTCATGTCTAATTTGAGAGTTAATAGCACTGAAGATTGGAATAAAAGATCCATGCTTGCTTTGGTGGGCTTAACAAGGAAAGTAAGACTATCAGGTAAATTGCTGCCAATGAAGCAGCCATGTGGGGTAAATTGATTGTTATTCATTACATTCTGACAGTATGGGAAGACATGATTCTGTTCATCTGTTTCTGACTTTGGGCCATCACAAAAAAGGCACTCATTATTCCAGGTGCTGCAGGTTAGGTGGTGACCAAGCCAGGCACAGGCTCCCGCCTTCCTCAAGCATGAATTCCAGCTGTGGAGTTAAGAAAAGGAGTTAGACACTCCGTTAAATAATACGTCAAGTCCATTTCCTCCCATGGCTAGACGTATATTGATGAAGGGCCAACTTTAAAAAGTGTTCAACACGGAAAGTCCTGAGGAGCTTGAGGGGGATCACACAGTGCTAAGCAGCTTGTCATTTAGCTACCAGGGACTCGGGATTCCCTTTTATGGGTTTTTAGTCTCACTGGCAAGAGAATTTAAAATGGACTCAAAAGGAAGCTTGAGGACCATCTATTAGAGTCGGAGAGGGAAAACTCTAAGCAGGCAAGCTATAAATCCTAGGAGCTGCCTGGAGGGAGACGGAGAAAAGGAAGACAGCCATGCCTTTTTAGTTAGGGTCCAAGAAAGCCAGCATGTTCAGCTGTTGGCAAACAGCTGCACTGGGGTGGAGATGGGGTGGGGTGGAGTGGGGTGAGGAGTCTCTTTAGGGAAAGAGGGAGAATGTCCAGAGAGCCAGAGCAAGCATGCTTAGGGGTTTGGACAGTGTCCAAAGAAGAAATAGAGAGAAAAGGAAAAGTTATGTTGCCCCCTTTTGTTGTCTAATAGGAACGAGTCATAGATTCTGTACACTCAAGGGGAGGGACTTGTGCTTGTCAATGACAGAGGGAGGTCACTCTAAAATGTGTTTTGTCAAAGATAAACAGAGCTAAGCACTAGTAAGGATATATTTAAATTAGCAGTATGTTTCTGTACTAGCAAGGTTGGGACCTAGTACCAATCAGCCTCCCATCTGCAGAAAAGTGACTGGGCATTTTAAAGGGAGTAGGGAGTGGGGTTGGTAGAATGCTTGCCACCTCGCATGCATGAAACCTTGGGTTCAAACCCCAGCATTGCATAAACCTGAACTAGGGGTGGTGGTGCATGACTGTAATCCCATCACTTGGAAGGTGGAAGCAGAAAGATCAGAAGTTCAAGGTCATCTTCAACTGTACAGTTAGAAGTTCAAGGTCATCTTCAACTGTACAGTTAGAAGTTCAAGGTCATCTTCAACTGTACAGTTAGAAGTTCAAGGTCATCTTCAACTGTACAGTGGGCTAGAAGCCACCTGGGATACATGAGACACTGTCTAAAAAAATTAAAAAATAAACAAAGGGAGCAAAGTCAGAAGAGAGCAGATGCTCGGTAGTCAGGGGACAGGGTGAATCACTGGGTTGGTCCTTATGGATGCTTATCGTGCCATCCACATCTGTTAGCAGCAGTTATTAAAGTTGGGATTCTGTCCTCCCACAGAGACGGGAAGCAGAGGCCTTGTCTATTCTGATGAAAACATTCTAAAGCAATCACCTCCAGGGCTTTGAGAAAGGCGTTCATGAGTTACAGGATATATACACACATACCAGAGGGATGCAGCCACCCTAGTAGCTCTTTTTAGTAAGTGCTGAATGGTGGTTCAAGGGTTTAAGGTCAGGTGTGGCCGAGGCAAAGTTTACCATGTTAGGTAAACTACTACAGAGTTCATTTGGTATAGACGGGTAGTGAAATGTGTTTAAGGTAGACCAGATGCTTTAGTAACTCTGGCCAGGTGGGAAAGCTGGGATAGGAGCTGTTAGATTTCTCAGGCTGTGTAAGGAGACAGACAGCAGAGACAGGGAGTCTGACCTTCAGCAGCCGGGGCTGTGTTTATTAGCATACAGCGAGAGGCAGTCTCTCTCTCTCTCTCTCTCTCTCTCTCTCTCTCTCTCTCTCTCTCTCTCTCTCTCTCTCTCCCTCCCTCCTCCCTCCCTCCCTCCCTCCTCTCTCTCTCTCTCTCTCTCTCTCTCTCTCTCTCTCTCTCTCGGGGTCAGGGGAAACTGTTGGTTGAGACCTTTTATAGAGATGATGTGAGGAGTTTGGGATGAGGAAATTGTTGCAGCATGTAGCTCATGTTTCTTCCCTACTGTAGTCTCTCCTCCCTGAAGTTGTTTAAAGTGAGACAGACGATCCCAACAGACATTCCTTTTCTAGGATGACCAAGTGTTGTAGCCGCTGCTCTATTGTGATGAAGAGACACTATGACCAAGGCAACTCTTAGGAAAACATTTAATTGGGGACTTGCTTACAGTTTCAGAAGCGTGTCCATTATCACCACGCTAGAGCATGCTTAAGACAGGTGTGATACCGGAGAAGTAGCTGAGAGCTGTATCTTAATCTGCCAGAAGGGAGGGGCTCAGAGAGAGAGAGAGAGAGAGAGAGAGAGAGAGAGAGAGAGAGAGAGAGAGAGAGAGAGAGAGAGAGAGATTGAGAGAGACAGAGTGATAGAGAGTAAGAAAGAGAGTGGTGACCTTGGCCCTGGCACAGGCTTTTGAAACTTCAAATTCCACCCCCAGTGACATACTTTCTTCAACAAGGCCGTACTTATACTAACCCATGGAGGTCATTCTTATTCAAGCTGCTATGGGTCTGGGGTCACCTATAGATTCACTGGTTGGACAATTAACAAATTTTTAACAAGAGGCTTTATTAAATACTGACCAGGACCATGGATACTAGCCAGATATGTATGTATGTATGTATGTATGTATGTATGTATGTATGTATGTATGTATGCATATATATATCTGAGACACATGCTCAGAATATGGCCCCAAATTCCTGAAGTGGCCAGGCCCTCCTTCAGCCCCCTGCTGTAGCAGCCATGACAGGCTGCAGAAAAAACCCAGTAAGATGTAGACCTCTGACTCAGCAACACATGCTGAGCTTCCTGACCTCTCAGTCACTAGGAAGTCAGATACCCTCCATGTGGCAAGGAACCAATCAGAAATTAGCTGGCCGGCTCTGGATGTGCTTAACAGAGACATAGACATACAGAGCATAGCAATCACCCTGGGAGGGCCTATAGTTGACCAATCAACACAGGCCAGGTCACCCAGGCCTGGAAGCGCACCAATCCTGAGACTGTTGGGCACCCCAGACACTCCCCTTGCTTTGCCCCAATAAATTCCCTGCTCCACAGTTCCTCTGTGTCCTTCTTGTTCCAGCTGCTGTGTTAGACGGATGGAGGGCCGAGTTAGTACAGTTAACTTGTTAATTTATTAAAGACTCTTTGCTTTTGCATCAGATCAGGTCTCTTGGTGATTTTGGGGTACAACAATTACATTAGTCAGGAGCCTGTTGTAAGGACTCAGGCACTATGCTGGTCTGTCCCTGTCACCTGGCAGAATGCACTTAGGCAGTACCCGGGTTAGCCCAGGGTTGCATGGCTATGTAGTCTGCACCCAGGTGCAAAGGACCCTTTAAAAGAAAGACCCCTGCCCACTTATGCTCTCTTTCCTGCTGTTCCCCTGTGGCAGACAGGACTTCTCCCATCTCCCTCTTCTCTTCTGTCCTCTCTCTGTCTCTGTCTCTTTCCCTCTTTTCTCTTTCCTTCCCCCTCCCTCTCCTTTCTAATAAAACTTCTCATTTAAGCTCTGTCTGCCTGGTGTGTCCCCTGCCTGGGTCACCCTCGACCACCATGGGATCCGCCAAGGCTCCCCAAACGCTTTATCATAACACCTGTACAGACAAACATATACGGTCTCGTGCTTTCTGCATTCATGCAGTCACAGACAAGCATACGTCCTGTGGGTAATCACGCACATCCTCTGCAGTTGGGGCAACCAACCTTGCTTACAGAAGTGAAACCTATGGCTGGTTATCTTACATGAGCAACAGCCTCCAGCATTCCAGAAAGTTATTTGTCCGTGTTCAAGTAGGGCTTATAGGTTAAAAGCATTTTTGTTTTATAGATCTCTTAAGCACAGTCATTAACTTAAAACTTAACTTTAGCTTTCACAGTGGGAGCCTATGAGGAAATAGGAGGAATGTTTACGTGTACCCAGCATGCATCTGTGTTGGTGCTTTGAGACCACCGGGAGGAACTATCAAACTCCCAGGTTTCAGTCCTAATATGGCTAGATGAGGAAAGAAATTGGAAAGAGTGGTGGTTCAGACAGGCACACTCATGTATTTCAGGTAAATGCTGGCCATCACGGTGGGAGAAGCAGGTTTAGGAGATCCAACAGCAACTACACGTTACACTGTTTTTGAGTTAGAACTCAGAAGAGCAAGCCCAGATCTCGGGCTCCCCCAAAGACCAACAAGGAGACCAGGACCCATATGTAAAAGCAAAGAGCCTTTATTCAAGTAAGCCCGAGCTTGGACTCTCCATCTGTGCACCGCAGCGGTTGAGAGCAGAGGGCCCAGTCCAGGTGGGTAGGGTTTGTCTTAGTAGAGGTTGGGGATGAGGGCACTTTCAGGCTTCAAGATCCTGATTGGCTGACGTTTGTCTAAAGGGTGTCTTGGTGAAAGCCAATGGGTGTGTGCTTAGGCTAAGGGACATCAGGTGATCCTATCTACAATGGTTGGAAAGTTAGGAATTTCCCTCGGAAATCCATTCCTGGGTGGTGCCCAGGTGGTCCCAGCTTGTGGTCTCTCCTGGAGTCAGGTATTGCTCCAAGGCAAATTGAAACTCTTTGAGCTTGTCATGGTTGGGCCCTACAAGAGCCAATTTAGCAGTGAAGATCTGTAAGCAACTGTCCTGGCAGAGAGTTCCCTGGGGATGGCGGAGGTGTATGTATGTACATTATCTCACTGAGAGGATAATTATTCTTCCCATCTCCTTAGCTTGTCTTCAAGTTAATCAGCTTTCCCAGCCAGGTGATTGACAGATCCAGGTGTATTGTCTTAAAAGAGGAGACAATTGTTATAATCTTATATAAAATGTCACATCTCCACCCAGGGCCAGAGGTAGAACTCAGGTTCTATTCTTTTTTTGTGTTTGTTTGTTTTGTTTTTCAAGACAGGGTTTCTCTCTATTGCTTTGGAGCTGTCCTGGAACTTGCTCTGTAGACCAGGCTGACCTCGAACTCACAGAGATCTGCCTGCCTCTGCCTCCCGAGTGCACCTTTAATCCCAGCACTCTTCTAACCAGAAGGAAGTAGCTTTTCATTAACTTAATGTCACCTCCCCTTTCCTATCATACTTTAAATGCTAAGGAGAGGAAGCACTGATGTTTCATTTTGCAACGTTACCAGGGAAACAGGAGGTGAGGCCCAAAACTAATGATCAGGGGAGGGTCTATCCTCAGTGGCTTCTAAGCCTGGGTATCTTCCTAACACTTAAGTAGAAGATTCCCTGTGTAGACAGAGCTGGTGGCTGGTGATGGCAGAACCTGTGTCACTGGCTATGAGGCGGGGATGGGAGGGCGGAGGGTGGGGACCACGGTGGCCAGGGAAAAGAGCAGTGGCTTTGAAAGGAGCCCCATGGCCTGGGAGTCTCTAGGGCACATTCTACGCTGATGTGCAGTCAGGCTGTTTTTCACTTGGACAACTGTATATATTATGCTCTAGGGTGAACAGCAGCCTGGACGTATTTACTTAATGATGTGGGAAGCCAGTAAATAAAATAATTACAAAGAATGACAGGCACTTAATAAAAGGGTCTGGGAGGAGGATGGGGACAGACAGGTCAGATGCATCAGGATGAGAAGCTGTGGAGAAAGGACCTGTGAGTGCTTGAGGGTAGGGGAGAGTGGGGATTTCACTTACCTTTGAAGACTCTCACTCCCTTTGCCCTGTGGAATCAGCTTTGATTTAATAGAACCTCATGTTTCTGGAAAGCATCCAACCAAACTGGCTGATACTCTTGAAGTCATCATAACCTCCCTCATCTCCCCAGCTCCCCTAAAGCCCCAGACCCAAATTTCCCCAGGAGACAAGAGTCCTACTTCAGGGTTAGATTTACATTAGAAAGAGGCCTTAATTACTCCTGATCTCCCACACCTCTGAGGAGCTGATTTGAGCTTTTCAGATGCAAAGAGTGTTAATTGGCTAAGAGGCCCAGCTGAGCAGAAGTACCCCCGAGAAGGAAGGAGGTGGGAGGGGCTCTGAAGAGGGTCCTGATGCACTTGCCAAGTTTCCTGGAGAGCTGAAGGGGCATGAGAGGAATTGACACAACCGTTGGACTGAATTCAGTCCTTTAGTCTCCTTCAGGCCTCCTTTCACTCCTCTGACAAGATCCCATCCCCTCTGGCAGCTCCCGGAAGCCTCCACCCTCTGTGCCTCACCCCTGGCTTCCCAGCAGGCTGTGCTCTCTTGGTTCCCGGTTTCTAATTACAGCACTTCCCAGCCTGCAGGAGATGGTAGTCTGGAAAGTAGGCGGTCCTTGTGCTAGGACGAGAGTCCCTGGTTGAACGTTGTCTCTCCATCGCCTGGGAAATACAAAATGCTCGAAAACTGCAAATGGTTTTGTTAGTGACATCACTCATCTCATTCTCTAGAAGTCCATTCTGTGAAGTCTCAGACAGTAAATCTCCTGTGTGGGTCACTATAGGCAAATGCCTATTTGTGAGAATATTGAATATCTACTACCACATGGAGTCAACACCCCTGTTTGTTTAGTTGTAGGTGTTCTATTTGTAGCAGCTTTATATAAATATAGTGAATATAAAACTTCAGTATGGTGGCTTGGAAGAAAATGGCCCCCATTGGGAATGGCACTATTAAGAGGTGTGGCTTTGTAGTAGATATGTCCTTGTTGGCGGAAGTGTGTCATTGTCGGCGTGGGCTATGAGGTCTTCTATGCTTAAGCTGCACCCAGTGTGGAATAGTTCACTTCCTGTTGCCTGAGGATCAAGATGTAGAACTCTCAGTTCTTTCTCCAGCGCCCTGTCTGTCTGTGTGCTGCTATGTCCACCATGCTGAGAATGGACTAAAGCTCTGAAATTGTAAGCTAGTCTCATTTAAATGTTTTCCTTTATAAGAGTTGTCATGGCCATGGTGTCTCTTCATAGCAATAGAAACCCCAACTAACTCGTGCAGACTTAAAATGTTGAGTGAACAAGAAATATGACCAAAACAACACCAAGGCACTTTGTAACTTGGCTGCTCAAAGTATTGATAAAGACAACCTTTTAAAAATAGCAAGAGAGTCAGGTGGGTGGCACACATCATCTCAGCACTTGGGAATTTGGAGCAGGAGGATCATGCTTGGGTTATATGCCAGCTGTTTAAATAAATAAACAAGCAAAAACTCTGGGGAGATAGCTCAGTAACATAGTACTTACCTGGCACATGTAGGGCAGTGGGTTTAATTCCCAGGGACCACAGCAGCAGAAACAGCAGCAGCAGCAGCAGCAGCAACATACATTATGCTCACAGAGTTATCCAGAAGCCAAGTTCATTCTGTTGGATGGGCAAAGAACAACTGTTCAAGAAAGACAATGCACTAAAGTGTGGGAACACCAGACCCTGAGCAGAGACCCACTTCCCCTTCTGCCTGGGAGTAGGCAGCTGTAAGACAATGTTTACTAAAAACATGTTTACTAAAAAGAATACAATGCCCGGGGGCAATAAGTTCCTGGAAAAGGCCTGCCCACAGAAACCGCCCTGACCTCGACCTTGTCCAAAGACTAACTGCCTCTTCTGACACGCCCAGATCAGTTTTTGGTGTCAGAGCAGAACCAGCCAGGGGAGAGGAGAGAGCAGAAGCTTCTCTGGTGGGAGCCTTTCTTAGGAAGTTTTCTTGAACCTTTTTGGGGCCTGCTTAAAGTTTCCTTTACATTGTTGAACAAGTCTCTGTGTTGTCAATCCCCGACACCCTCCGCACGTTCTCAGACACAGGCCTCGCAGCAGACGTGACACTAAAGAACGAGAAAGACATGAGGCCAGGAGGCAGAGAGAACAGAAGGATGACAACAGTTTCACTGAGGCAGGCTGATCTCTCCTGTCAGGATGAGGGGGGAAACCCAGAGTCGGGAGTTTCCTGGGGGACTCTGGGTTAGACATTTTAAAAGACCCCTGGGTCTCTCTCATCTTCTCTCCCAGATGTTTGTCTCTGGGTGGGCTATTTCTTTACAGAAACCTTTTCATTTAGAAAGGGGACCCCCTCCACAGTCATTTAGAAAGGGGGACCCCCCAGTCATTTAGAAAGACCCCTGTGTTTTCCCTACCTGCCTATATCCTTCTGACTTTCCCACAATAGGAAATAGATGGAGAGTAATGAAATTTTCTACAGAAGCTTTGTGTGAGAGAAAACTGAACGGCAAAAGTGAGAGCTGGAAAGATGTTTCAACAGTTAAGAGCCTTGCTGCTCGCCCCAGCCTGCCTTCAGCAACTCAGTGACAGCAGCTATATCATCACCAGTCACCAAATTCAAGATGTGTTCCCTTTAAAAGGTCCCCGCCATCAGTGTCACGGTCCTGTTCTGTCTGTCTGTCCCTCCTTTCACTCACCACCCCAATAAATCTTTTGTGTGAGATCTGTTGTGTGGTGTGATCTCTGCATACCTCGGCCAAGACTCTCCAAGGTATTCCACCAAAAAAGCCCTAACATTGGTACAGATGACTCAGTAGGATATCCTGGTGCCTGCATGGTCCCTCTTGGGTCTAAGCCACACTGGGATGCTAGCTACCCTTATCTCAGGTCTTCCTGCAACAGACTCATTTTCCACCTCTGACCTGGCCTCCATGCATTACCAGCAATTGGTGAGTGATTCCTCTCGGTTGGCTTAAATGTTTCCCTGAGTCTCTGGTGCTCTTGGAGATGGACATACACCCCTCTGACTCTTCCTTTGGGTAAGGCTTCAGCTTTGAACTTGGTTTCCACCTCTTGGTTTCATTCAAAAGCCCTGGTTCCAGGTACCAAGTCTCTCCTCAGGCTTAGCCAGGCTAAACCCTGGCCCCTGTCTGGTGAGGTGACAACACACTGTATGACTTGTGCCTTCCTCCTTAGGGCCCCTGGATCCCAGGGTGTCGGGGTCCACATAATATCTTGAAAATACAGTCCACCCGGTCACAGAGAACTCAGACTTTCTATTGTCTTTCAGTGTAGGTGTTGGATGGCCTAGCCTCGGTGGGGAATGGCTAGTGGGATGTGCTGGTGTGGAGTGTCTCAGGGTTTGAGTAGTGCTGCAAAGCAGTGTCTCTAGGATTTAGGGAAATATTTGCTATCTGCCCTTTACACATGATATTAGATGTCTTCTGCCATTGCCCCCACCTTTGGATGGTTACTTAAGATAATGCTTCAATAAACCATGGCCTTTAGTATTAACTGATTACCCTCCTCATATGACCAGATGTCTGTCTCTTCTTCAACACCGTTGGAGAGTTAGCATATCCTGCGTCCACACTCCTCCACTCAGGAACGAACCGGGGCCCTTTGGCTGGTTCTGACCGCAGCACCGCAGACATCAGCCAGGGATAAATGCCCCTGAGTGGGGCTAATACAGACTGGACCTGACACTAGGGACTCCTGGACTTCAGGACTTGGACCTCATCCTCTACCTCACCATGGGAACTACGCCATCTGTACCACTGGGCTCCCCTTTGGGATGCCTCTTGGAGTCCCTCTGATCCCTACACGTAGCACCCAACTTGAGGGCTTCTAAACGTATCTGCCTTTGAAGTAGAATCTGGCCTCAATGCCCCTTAGTAATCCATCCAAACGCAGCCAACCAAGCAATCGGGGAAATGGGGGGAAAATTCCCTATTCCTTAATTTTTCCTCCCCCTCAAGCCCTGTTTGCTTTTGTCTGGCTCTCCACGCTGCCCCCCACCCCATCCATCCTCATGGTGTAAATATTCCATCTTTAAGTTAGGGTTGAACAATCTAAGTTTGTCACAAAGTGTGAGCTGGAGCAGGCCTAGCAGGAGGGGCGAGCAAAGGAGCAGGTCAGCTCTGACATGCGCACAACACCGCCAGCGCACAAGCTCCCCTGCAGCCTCCTCCCCGCAGCCAAGCCACTGAAGGTATGTATGTATTATTTGTTTGTGAATTTTATTGCAGTTCTTCCCCTGCTGCTTCCCTCTGGCCCGCTGTGCCCTCCACGTGGGCACCTATGTGAGTCTCAGCTCCTCTTTGTCCCTTAGCTGTTCCTTTTCTTGTCTAAGGCCATAAACTGCAGTCAGCTTCTTTACCCTTAAGGCTCCCACCACGTGGGCCACCTTCTTTCTCGGCTCTGGGTCTCTCTACTACAGACACTTACCAGCTCCCGTTGCCCCTGCGCTCTCCTGGCTATCTCTGGCTTCAGCCTGCAGTCCCGAGGCTTCAGCGATCAGCTTCCTCTTGGAGCTTATAGGAGCACACCTATACAGTGCTCCATGTTGCAAGTCTCTCTTCCTCCTCAGACTCAAGGATTTTATTACAGCAGCCTGGCCTCAGTACAGATCAATGGTCAAAAAATCGGGGGAGTTGGTTTCCAAATTCTCACGAACGGTGACAATTGTTACTGCACAGACAGATGATTCCCAAGCATCTTTACCTCGCTCTGCTCTGCACTCTCTCTACTTTCTACTCTGGAAACCTGGCATCTTTATGTTTGTTCTGCCCGGGCGGTGCTGACGCACACCTTTGACCCTAGCACTCGGGAGGCAGAGGAAGGCGGATCTCTGTGGGTTCGAGGCCAGCCTAGTCTATAGAGTGAGTTCCAGAACAGCCAGGGATACACAGAGAAACCCTGTCTTAAAGAACAAAATAAATAAATAAGGAAAGAAAGAAAGAAAGAAAATGATTTATCTGTGCTCTGCTGTCAAAAAAATCTAAGATTATGCTGTAAACTCTATCTAAGGATTTTTTAAATTCATCAAAAAAATCACTTAAGATTATTCTGTAAACTCTAAAGATTTTTTTAAAATTCATCCAAAAAAATCTCTTATGATTATGCTGTAAACTAAAGATTTGTAAATTCATTGGGTATGGTTAAAAAAAAATCTAAGAAATCTGTAACAAGTTTTGACTTTAAATTTAAAAGGCTTATAATTAAAATCTATACATGGGTATATATATGAGATTCAACTCTTGTTTAGGATATATATGTATGTGTGTATGTAACTTGGATTCAACTCTGTGTGTATGTGTATGTAACTTGGGTTCAACTCTATATGTGTGCATGTAACTTGGATTCAACTCTCATTTAAAAATACATATATATGGAAAAATGTAGAGATCTACTAGAAAAACAGATGTTTTAAATAGCAGCCATGTGGTT